GGAATCGGAATATACCATTCGATAGAGCTCATCGAGTTGTACTCGGAACACCAGTGGAACGTGTGGAACATGTTTCTGGGCGAATCTTGGCGGGTTTTACTGCATAAAATCCAGGATTTTTGTGGTGATACACTAGTATTTTTAAATTTTCTCAGACTTAGTTTGAGTTATGGAAAATCTGAACACGCCATTCGATAGAGCGCGTCAAGTTGTACTCGGAACACGAATGGATCACTTGGAACATGCTCCTGAGCGAATCTTGGCGGGTTTAAGTGGATGGATGCAAAATGACCTATGGTGAAAATCTAGTATTTTCTGATTTTCGTGGACGGTGTTTTAGCTATCGGGAATTGGAATACACCATTCGATAGAGCTCATCGAGTTGTACTTGGAACACACCTTGGGACAGTTGGAACATGTTCCTGGACGAATCTTGGCGGGATTCACTCGAATCTGGTGCTAACTTCACCTACGTGTCGTAATTGACTTACTCGATATTGCTTGTTCATATCTTCCATCCATTTGTCTTTTTGTAAGTCTTCCACTAACTCATAGTAATGTGGACACTCACTGGTGCTTAGTAGCTAAATATGAATATGCATTTGTTTTCAGATAAAATCATGATAACAGTTTGTTCGTTATTACAGACTTAACAATTTCTGTAGTTTATGTAAAGAAATACAACCAACTGCTATTTAATTAAATCACCATAGTCAACTCGAAAGAGTCTTTTAAACTATGTAGCGCAGTGAAATGAAACTAGATGTCTTACTTAAAGGACACGAAATCAATTTGACATATATTCGTTGTTTCTTGATAACACATATTTAGGATTACCTAGCCAAACTGTTGTGAAGATCTTGGAAAAATATTTGCATTAAAAACACCTGACAAAAACATGGTAGTCATCGATCCACTCAGTATCAGTATAACAAAAATAAGTAAAGTGCGATGTCGATGTTCATTCAAAATTTTCTCCTTTTCATCTTCATGAAAAATTAGTGGTATGTTATTGAATAATATTGATGTAAAAGTTAGATTTTAGGATCATTCTAGAATACTCGTAGGATCAAATTCAATACACCACTAAAGATTTTTCATTATAAGAAAGAAAAATAATTTGTGCTAGTTTTGGCAATATTTTCTTTTACATATTCAATTGAAATTGCATGCTTCTCCAAATAATATCACTATATACTATAATACTTACGTGATCATCAGATAATGGTACAGTGTGTACAGGAATTGGTTGCCAAGGTAAAGTTTCAGGCCATGTGTCTTCCTCTGTTAGGTTCGAAAGTAGAGAGTCTAACTTTTCTTTCGAAGTAGGATAAAGTCCTAGCAAATTCGAATAGGCCGACATGAGGGTTCTATCATAATCTGTACTCCGAATTGTCACCTATAATAATCAGATGATTGTGAGTGATTATCAGTGTTCGGTTCTTACTGACTTCAGAAGCAACATAAGTTGAATTGAGCAGTGTAGAGTATCGTTCTCGTAAATACTGTCCTAATTGAACTTACTGAATTTTACCACGAGTCGTCAATTGACCGAGTCCGTTCAGCCAAACTAGTGGACTATTAATGCTTGTTGGATAGAGAGTAGAAGGAGTTCTATCTCCATGTCGATAGACCTCGTGTTAAATATATTTTTGACTTAACAAAAACCTAGTCAATTCGAACACATTACATACTATGTGAGTGTCCACAAGTTTGATTCTTTCTTGAAAACATTGTATTCCATTAAAGAATACAAGAAAGCTGTAAAAAACATGTATTATCAAATCCATTTTTGATAATAGTAGAACAATCAATGGTTTTATATTGTTTTAAAGCGGATTAATATGGATCTCTTTAAAGAGAGAGAAAAGATCAAGGTCTCATTTTTGTTAGCAAATGTCATGTTTCTTTTGTTTGGATGTATGATTAGAGTACTGTGTAACAGTCTCGTAGACCTCTATGTATAACATCAACTTTCCAGATTTGTCGATCAATATTCATATTCACATTTTTAAATGAATTTTTTTACCGAAATAACATAATATAACTGTAAGTAGCATTTCTCATGGAAATGCTAAAAAATGTGTCGTAGTGGACGCTGTTTATACCAATAAAGAATACATAAGGCCAAGTGTATCGAAATGTACAACAATAAGTGAAAAATTCATTTTTGTTTTCTTTTCTCACATACTCAAAGAGAAGTCGAAGAGTACAGGAAAACAAAGCAAATACCCTGAATTAATAGAACTAACGGTTATAATTTTTTACATTTAAAACTTCATCTAACCATCTTGCAAACAAATTATGCTGCGTAGACTATAATTTTTTTAGCACATTGTGAAATAGCATCTATATCGAGAGAAGCAGTTTTTCTGCACAGTTTATCATTGCTTAGTATACCTATCATCAGAAATCTCACCATCAAACATTATCTTTTACTTCAATAATATCAGTCATTCGCATAGAAAAATAGCGAAAAAGATAATTTTTCATTCTTTGAAAAATTCAAATTCCGGTTTCTGATGAAACTTTTAATAAAAATATACATGAGACTTCGAAATGAATTTAAATTAGTTCATATGAATCTATTAACTTTGGTTTACAATTATAGATGTCCCTATTGTCCTATCATTTGTTATGATTATATTTAGGTGTCGTGCATTGCACAAAAAGAAAACTTATGTGAAAGACATAGAATCCAATCGACAATATTGATGATGAAAGAAAATAAAAGAATATGTATACTTAAGTGAAAAATAAAGTTACTTTGACATCTTTTAACTTTCAATTCCGAATAAAGTTTGAGTACTTTTAGACAAATTTCAAAATTTTTCAAGGCTATTATTCAAATTAACTCATGCTTCTATATGAAACACATGCATGTAAACATGTCTCAAAATTCGTTCAATTCAATTCTAAAAGCAAATGATTTATTTATGTGAAAAGAAAATAATAACAAATAATAGAATTGATTATTAAGGTAATGTATAATTTTTCAAACTTAACAAAATTAACTTTTAGAATTCAAATTAAAACAAAAAAAATATTTTAGATTTTAGACACATAATGTTTAAGTGAAAAATAATTCTATCATTATTCTAGTTTGTTTATATCATAAATTCTTACATAGGAAGAATATAGTCTTGTTTTTTAATATAGAATAGATTTGTTTAGACTATTAATTTTTAACTTGTTCAATTAAAATTCTTATTAGCTTTCAACTGTAAAATCAAATGAACATCCGGATCCTTGGATGATGATCATGTAATATTCTTTAATAAAGTGTTTAATATGCGTTATAGTTTGTCATGAATAGATTGAAGTGTTCTACAATAATACTTCAATTAGTTCAAATTTGAACCAAACGTAATTCTATATTGAATCGAAAAATTTGTAAAGTTATTCACATCATCAAAAACCATTGTTTGATCTGAAAAGACAGGATATTCCAAAGGAAATTGATTTATATACTGTGAACATATTATTTATCTGCGATTTTCATTGAAATATTTTGTATCTTTTCAAATTAATCATTATCAAAAGTAATCATGATAACGGTAATGCATCGACTTTTTTTTTTAATAAGAAGAAATAATTAAAACAAAAATTAAGGATGCATATTATGTTAAAATGTTTTTTTAAAGTAATAGAGTATTACATGTATCCTAATAATTAATCGATACTGGTTGCAGCATTAATATTTTTCTAACAATATATGAATCATTTTCTTTGTCCGTTGCTTGTTTTTGCAATCGTATTTAGGTTATGTTTTTCTGTGTTTGCATATCTACCTATACAAAATATTTTAGAGCACTTATGTTTTCGTTAATTATACCTTCAGATTCTTATTACATACTACTCAGTCAATGATGAAAGTTACACGTGATAAACATACGTAATTAGTTGAAAAAATTCTGGTATGATTTGTAATAAAAATTGCTTTTTTTCTATACTATATATTTTCCTTTGTCTTTGTTAGCATAAACAATTACGAATCGAAATAACTTGTAACAATGCAAAATATCCTTATAATTTATTTCAATTTGTAATTTTCGATGTTAACAAAAAAAAAACGTTAAAGTCACAAAGCAGTTTGCAATAGAGAGTTGCAGCTTTTTTTTTTATACTAATTATGTATGATTACTGATGAACTTATGAAGGTACAATAAGAAATATGATATATATAAGAATTATAAACACGAGATGAAACAAAAAGAATCTAAAAATCATTTCAATTACTCTCAATAACACATTCTATATTAGAAAATTTTCTTGCAGATAATAGAAAAAAAAAAACAAAAATCATGTTACGTGTAATTGAATTATTCAGTGGTATTGGTGGTATGCATTGTGCTCTTGATTTAGTTGATCTCAATTATGAAATTATTGCTGCTATTGATATAAATCCAACAGCAAATCTAGTCTATGCATCAAATTTTCCTGATGTTCCAGTAATGAATCGTACAATTGAAGGAATACCTTTAAATCAATGGGAAAAATGGCATGCAGATATTTGGTTAATGTCTCCTCCATGTCAACCATTTACTCGTCAAGGTAAACAAGAAGATTTAAATGATCGTCGTACAATTGGATTTGTTTATTTAATGAAAACAATACTTCCTCAATTACAATCAAAACCAAAATATATTCTTCTTGAAAATGTTTCTGGTTTTGAATATTCTCAAGCACATCAATTATTATTAAATACACTTGAATCACATAATTATAATTATCAACAATATCTTCTTTCACCAATACAATTTGGTATACCTAATTCACGTCTTCGTTATTATCTTATTGCTAAACAAGAAGAAAAATTGCTTGATATACATTCATCTTCAATACAAACTCGTATATCAAATTTTGAAAGATTATATGAAAAAATTCGTCAACAATTTCCATCAAAAGAATTTTCTTTTGAAGAAAATTCTTTTCATGAAAATGATCAAATAACTGATAAATGTAGTCATTCATCTGAAATACTTATTCAATCTAATCAATCAATGTTAATAAATGATTTTTTAATTTCAAATGAAAATTCTGATTTTGAATTAGATGAAAAACAATTAAAACGAGGTTTACATGTTTGTGATGTAATTACATGTCATGCTAAACGTTCATTTTGTTTTACAAAATCTTATGGAAAATATTTTGAAGGTACAGGTTCATTATTTCGTACATTATCAAATCGTATACGATATTTTACACCAAAAGAAATAGCTAATTTACATTGTTTTCCATTAAATTATCATTTTCCTGAACAAATTACAATTCGTCAAGCATATTCATTACTTGGTAACAGTTTAAATGTATTTGTTGTTGGAGTTTTACTTGAAAATCTTTTCGAGCGCTCTTAAATATTCAGATTTTTGTTGTTTTTCTTTTTTTTGTTTTTGTTTTGTTTATTCTTTCAGATCAATATGAATTCTCGAACATTAAAACGTTTATCTAATGTTCGTTTAAAAGCACGTAGTGAACTTCAATCAGATGAATGGCAACAAAATAATTTATATTATGATCGGAATATTCTAATATGTAATAAAGATCAATTAGAAAGAATTGATGCAAGAAATATAACACGTGAAGATTTTATTGAAAAATATGAACGTCCAGCTAAACCAGTTATAATTCAACATTTAATTGATGATTGGCCAGCATTTGATAAATGGACTGTAGAAAAATTAGGTAAAAAATATCGTAATCAAAGATTTAAAGTAGGTGAAGATGATGATGGACGATCAGTTAAATTAAAAATGAAATATTTTCTTGATTATGCATTAAATAATCATGATGATTCACCATTATATTTATTTGAATCAAGTTTTGGTGAACATCCAAAAAAGAGACGTCTTCTAGATGATTATGATGTACCAGATTATTTTTCGGAAGATTTATTTCATCTTGTTGGTGAACATCGTAGACCACCATATCGTTGGTGGTGTATTGGACCACAACGTTCTGGAACCGGAATACATGTAAGTTAAATAAAGAGTTTATCTCTTCTCATCGTATCTATTCAAATCAAGTTAACCATCAAATGACAAATGAAATTATCTGTGAATATTCCAGATTGATCCATTGGGTACAAGTGCATGGAATGCACTTATATCGGGACATAAACGATGGTGTATATTTCCACCATCAACACCACGTCATTTACTTAAACCAACATCAGCTGATTCACCAAAAAGTAAAGATGAAGGTATTACATGGTTTAAAGTTATCTATCCAAGAACACAACTTAGTACATGGCCAAAAGAATATGCTTGTATTGAAGCAATACAACATCCAGGAGAAGTTATGTTCGCACCTGGTAATTAAAAATAATTTATTATGTTTATTTTTTCGTATAAATCAATGTCATATGAAAAATTTTATTATAAAACAATAGTTTACTAACATTATTGAATAGATCATAGACACATATATATATATATATATATATAATCATTTTTTGACATGTTCTATATGATTATATATGAATCAATTATGGAGTGATCGTTCATTCTAACTATTGTTTTGTAAAAAACAATGAATAAAGAAATGTATCATAATAGGATTACCATGTCAAAATGAAAACTTTATGTGAATGTTTTATTTTGCATATCTTACCATTTATTTAGAATTAACTAATTGAAAAATAGATAGACTATTCATTAAGAAAATATAAGCCATTTCAGATATCAAATCGTTTGTCAATCGAGACGATGTTCATTTTATGATTCATAGAAAAGTCTAGATTGGTTTAGTTTTCCAAACCTTCGTTTATATATTATTTACATCTCTACTAACGAAGCTAAAACTTGCATAATCAAATAATCTCATTAAAAATTCTGTTCGAATATCGTCTCGATCGAAAAGCACTTTGACACTGAGAGAAATTTTCTCATTAGTTTTTGATTGTATTTATTGATATTGAATATGTAAAAGAAAAAAAAAAAACAAAATGTAGAATTAGTGGAATACAAAATATTTCAGTTTTTGTTTTAATAATTTATTTTTATACTAATGACTGTCAATGTGGGAAAACATTAATACAACGAGTATTTTAAAACTAATAATACTTCTTGGAGGCTTATAGTATTTATTATGGTTGAAACCAATTCTGTTTCGACTATAAAACTGCCAATAAAAAAAATAGGTTATTAACATGGATTTTTCAATAGTCGTTTTCTTTTTTTTTTAAATACATTCATTTCTTCATGCATTTTAAATTTCTATAAATAAACTAATCGCCTACGGCAATAATAACGTTCATGTCACGCCTTCATTTTATCTCATGATGAAATTGAAAAATAAGGTAACTTTCTTTTTCTTTTCTATTCTTGTGCGTGACAAGTTGTCTCAAGAAGATATTTCTTAAATAATATGAAAAAAGATAACTTACTAAGTGGCACTACACTATTCCAAGCCAATTTTGTTTTAAAATTTAAATTCAAAATAGTATTAAACAATGTTTTATCGAAATTTTCTCTTGTGAAGAATATTTTTAAAAGTCCACCAGGGTATACATAGTACGTGATACAATAGTCACAAACTCTAGAAGGAAGAATATGATTTTTAAAAAAGATACCTCCCTCTCGCACTAGATAATACATTGGCATCAAAATCATTCAAAAAAAAAAAAAAGTTCTTTTCTTTTTCTATTATAGGCGGTTATTGGCATGTTGTACTTAATCTGGATCTAACTATTGCTGTGACACAAAATTTTTGTTCATCAGTTAATTTTCCTGCAGTATGGACACGAGTAATTCATAGTCGACCAAAAATGTCGAAAAAATTTCTCGAATCTCTTAAACGTCGTCGACCAGATTTAGCACGATTAACTGAAAAAATTGATACTAATGCAGATACAGGTCCTCGATCGGATACATCATCATCAAGTAGTTCATCAGCATCAGATGATTCATCATCTGATTCAGCTGATGAAAGTGATACTGAATCAAAATCAACAATCGATCAACAATCACTTGGTCAAGGAGACGAACCAGTAGCTAAGAAACAACGTATTTCATCTTTACAATAAATTTTTGTTATTTGTTATTCTTATTATATTATTATTAATTTTTTTCTGTGTTAAACGAGAGAAGAAAATTACGATAAAAAAAACCTGTGACAAAAATTTTTCTCATTTTATGAGTTAAAATTTTTTATTTGTAGATTATTCTAATCATAACATTTAAATATTAATAATCATGTCCCAGTTAGTACATGATGAAAAAATTCATATTAATGAACCTCGATATGATCAAAATACATATTCAGGTCGAGGTTTGTTTATTCTATTACCTGTATTTCTATTTTTATTTTGTTTTCTAATTTACTAGCAAAACATTTTTTTCTTACAACAAATCCATTAAACCTCTTGGCTAGTGATCAACATTTAAATGAAGGTAAAAATTAAATAAGATAATAAGAATTGTAATAGATTCTTTCTTTGGTTTGTTTTATTTTATAGCAAAAAAAATGGTTGAAGATTATCGTCATGGTATTATTTCACGACCTGATATGACTGTTGATGATTTATGGAATGCAAAATATTTATATGATAGTGCATTTCATCCTGAAACAAAAGAAAAAATGTTTATTCTTGGTCGAATGTCAGCACAAGGTTTTGATTTTAAAACATATATATATATATACTTGTTTTTCCTAAATAAATTTCTTCTTCTTTTCCTTCTTCATCATAGTTCCATGTAACATGTTAATTACTGGTTTTATGTTAACAGTAAAAAAAGAATTATTGAATGAATATAAAAAAAAATGATAATCTTTAATATTTTCTTTTAGTTCTATAAAACGGCACCAGCTATTGTCTTCTGGCAATTTGTCAATCAATCTTTTAATAGTATTGTTAATTATACAAATCGAAGTGGTGAAAAACCAATAACAAATACTGATTTAATGAAAAGTTATGCTGTTGCAACTACAGTAAGTTTTAATTTAGACTTTTTTAATCCAAAGAATATATTTAGAATTTATTCAAGTTTTTGAATAAGAAAAATGCTTGATGAATTTTCAAGCAATGATACATCGACAAATTTCTATCATGTTTGTACTTCATTTAATCGTATATAAGCACTTGATTATTTCAGCTACATACTTCTAATGATGATGATGATATTAATATATCTACTAAGCTATTAAAAAACTCCGTATTATTTGATTTCAGTTCTTAAGAAAAGCAAAATTTTGCAATTTTTCTTTTGATTACTTTTATGATAATCTATATGTTTATGTTGAATATTTTAGGCTGCAACAGCTACAGCACTTGGTCTTAAAGGTAAATGAAAATTATTTTTTGAATAATATTTTATCTATATAATTAATACTCATATTAGCTGCTGTTGCAAAATTACCATCAATTATGGCTCGATTTGTACCATTTGCAGCTGTAGCTGGTGCTAACTGTGTCAATTTACCATTTATGAGATGGAATGAAATTCGTGATGGTATTGCTGTTTTTGATAAAGATGGAAAACGTGTTGGAGGTGAATAGAAAAAAAAAAGATGTAATATATTTCTCATATGATTTTGTCTTTTATGAAATTAGAATCATCATATGCAGCAAAGAAAGCTATTGCCCAAGTAGTTCTTTCACGTATTGGCATGGCTGTACCGGGTACATATTTAAATCTAGTTCTTTGATATTGAATATATTTCAATTTTGCATTCTAGGCATGATTATTCCACCGATTATTATGGATAAACTTGAACAAAAACCTTTTATGCGTGCACGTCCATGGCTTAATAGTCCCATACAAATTCTTCTATGTGGTTTCTTTTTAACATTTACAACACCAATGTGTTGTGCTTTATTTCCACAAAAGAGTTCAGCACCTGTGGCTAAATTGGATGACAAACTTCGAGAAAAATTATTACACGATGGAATGAAAGAAACCGATCGTGTTTATTTCAATAAAGGCCTTTAAATTTCAATAGATATTCATGAACACTGTGTGAACCTGAGTATTGTTTTTTCCCCATAGTGAGAATTGAGTATCCATTGCTTAGCTTATTGATCCATTCCATATTATATTGTTTTTCTCCCGTCTGTTGTGTGTCTTTGATTGACTGATGATTATAAAATAGAAAATAGTAGATGTGTAACATTCAAATCTATATTATTACAACAGTTTTAGATGGAAAATTATCAATTTGTTATTATTGGTGGTGGTATATCTGGTGTGACTTGTGTAGAAAGTGTAAGTTTATTAAATACGTTCTGTCGTTTGATTTCTTTTTTGTGAAACATAATCTAAAAAGAAGTGTTGAAGTCTATTGAGTAGAAATTTGTACTTGCTCTAACAGATCATGACAGATACCTTAGCAACACTTCTCTCGATGATGGATTTCGAGTAGGAAAAATCAGTCCTTTTCAAAAGACTCGTCTCAATGCTTCCTAGCAAAAACAAGGACTTAAATATAAGCCTACACTAACTCCCTCCTGCTGTGTCATAGACTTTACAGATGTTATTGATATGCAATCAAAAATCATATATCAATAACATCTTGTTATAATTGCTAATTGCATTTCTGGAAGATTAAGTATAAGAATGGTGAAGATATATGTCCTAATAAAACAATCTTCCTGTAATTAACAACAGCAGCCGTATTGTTTTTCATATTTTAATTCTGCAAGGTTTATACTAACAATGTTTGTCTTTTTTAACTTAATAGATTGCTACATTTGATTCTACTGCTCGAATTCTACTTCTTACAGGAACACCATTGATTAAAGCAATTACAAATTATGTTAAAGTAATATTTATATTTACAATTATATTTATATGATTTTATTTAGGTGAGCAAATTTTTAGAAGAATTTGATATTGAAGAAAAACCTTTTCATTATTTGGCTGAACGATTTCCAAATTTAATTATACAAAATAAAGTTGTTGAACGATTAGAAACTGAGAAGCAAGTAAAGCAAAAACTTTTTTTTTAGCTTTTATAATTATTTTTATTGTCGAATTAGATTATTATCTGTTCTGATAATACACAAATTCATTATGATCAACTTTGTATTTGTACTGGTGCACGACCTAAAGTAAACTAAGGGTGAAAATCCTTTTTATTTACAAAATTATTTCATTATTTATCTATTCATTTATTAGTTACTATCCAATACAAATCCTTATGTATGCGCTATTCGTGATACAGAAACAGTTGAATCATTTCAAAAAAAATTAGCATCAGCTAAACAAATTGTTATTGTTGGTAATGGTGGTATTGCAACTGAACTTGTGTATGTAAAGATCATTTAGAAAGAAAAATATTGAATTATATTATTAATGATTAGATATGAAGTTGAACATTGTTCAGTTATATGGGCTATTAAAGATGAACATATTTCAACAGCATTTTTTGATGAAGCTGCAGCTCGATTTTTTCTTGATCGTATTGAAATGGTTAAAGAAAAACAAAAGATGAATGAAAAAAGACAAAAATATGAAATGGTTGATCAACCAGTTGATCCTACACATATTCGAACATCATCAACAAAGATATGTGGTGGAGCTTTAGGTCCTGATTGGGCAACACATAGATCGATGAAAGGTGCATTTTCTGTAAGTTAATAATATTGTCTCAAATCAGTTTTCAAACATTTTATTTGTTTATTTCTTTGTTCAAGCAACCTCGACAAGTTCATATTGAATATCAAGTTGAAGTGAAAAATATTCTTACACCTGAACAATATCAACAACGAAAATTAACTATTGAAAATCTTCAATCATCTGAAGGTAAAAAAAAAAGAAACTTTGTTTATTAATTTTTTAATATTTATCTTTAGAAGAAATTCAATGGCCAGTTTATGTTGAATTAACTAATGGTAAAATTTTTGGTTGTGATTTTGTTGTGTGTGCTATTGGTGTAACACCGAATGTTGAACTTTTTCTTCAATCAGCAGATGTAAAAAAAAAAATTTTAATTAATTTACTAGAATTATTTTATTTAAAATTTAGTTTAAATTGGGTGCTGATGGTGGTTTATTAGTTGATGAAACAATGCGTACATCAATAAAAAATATTTTTGCTTGTGGCGATGTATGCACAGCTGGTTGGACGTTTGCAGAACATTGGTTTCAAGTATGTAAATATTTTTGTTCACATAATCATAAATTTTATCAATTAGATGCGTCTTTGGTCACAAGCTCGTCAGATGGGATATTATGCTGGTAAATGTATGTTAGCATATGCAAATAATGAACAAGATTCATTAGCAATGGATTTTTGTTTTGAACTTTTTGCACATACAACAAAATTTTTTAATATGAAAGTTGTTTTACTTGGTAAATATCATGAAAAAGATATGAAAAAATATGACAATCTTATTCGAATGACTCCAGGTAGATTTTATCCTGTAATTATTAATACAATAATATTATTACTTCTTTCTGTTTTACAAGGTGAAGAATATATAAGAATAACATTAAAAGATGGTCGAGTACATGGTTGTATTTTTATTGGTGATACTGAACTTGAAGAAACATTTGAAAATTTAATATTAAATCAAATCGATGTTAGTGCTTATGGTGAAAGTCTACTTGACCCAAATATTGATATTGCTGATTATTTCGATTGATAATATAATTTTCTGTTTTGTTTAAAATAAAAGATAGAACATTTTATATTTCACTTTATGTCAAGAGAAGAAAAATTTGAAAACATTATTATTGTCTTTGTCAATTCAGCAAAAAAAACTTTTCATTGTGAAAAAACAAAAAGAATGATACATTACAAAAACCAACATGTATTCTAAATCATAGTTTGATAATATATAAAAATAGCATATATGTATATAGGTAATCAATAGAAACATCTGCTCTTATTTTCTAAAATTAGATAATGACTCTGTTTCTTTTAATTTATACATCTATTACATATAGCTGTATTGATATGAAAAGGCCACAAATGTTTCTAATGGTAATAGATTATTATAGATACATGTAAAAGAAAAAAAAATGTTTCATTTTCAATAATGCTAAAAAAACGAATGTGACGCTAATATTCAAATTGAAATGTTTTATATCTTTGCTTTGTTTTATTTATTTCTCTTAGAATTACAAATTATTAGTAGTATCGACATTGAACAAAGTCCTCTAACTGTAATTGGTGATAAAAATGTTACACGTCAAAGTAATTTAATAACTAAATCATTTTCAAAACTATCTATCAATGGACTATTTTATTGTTATGTTACATGGACTGATCATAAACAAACTATGGATATCTATACAGATAATAATATTCATCCATATGTTATAGTTCATATCGAACAAGATACATTAGAAATAGCGATTCAATTTGATGCAAATTTTAAATTTACTAAAATGGATATTTATCTTTATATACATCCAACAATTGATGAAATTTTCTTAGGTGGAATTAGTACTTTACATAGTACAAATGTATTAAAGACTGATAGTCTCTTAAAATTACATATTCAAGGTATAATAATGAAAAAAATTTTCAATATTTTTGAGTTTAATTTTACAAAAGATTAAATCATTTTAGATACGAGTAGCCTTATTCTTCAGTTGGATATATTCAATCTTGATGCTCTCTTTTTATCAGCTGGAACGACTAAATTAATTGGCCATGTAAATGATAAAGCAATAATTAAATACGATGGTATTGGAGATGTTGATGCATCTCAATTGTTTTGTAAATTTGTTGATATCGAAGCTAATGGACTCGGCACTATATGGATAACGGGTACAGAGGAATGTTTTATCAAAGCTGAAGGTGTAAGCATTGTAAGATACAACTGTACTAATATACATAATCCTCAAGTGACTGGTTTGGCAAAAATAATTCCAGTTTAATTCTTCTTAGTTTTTGTTCTTCGTTTTATTTGAAAATGGTTTTTCTTATAATAAATTTGTGTCAATATACTTTTTCTTAATTATTATATGAATGCTTTATACTATCATATATATATATATATAATATCTTGATTGTTTTTCTTATACTGTTGGCAGAAAAAAAATTGTCTTGTATATTATTCATAACAAAGAAGAAACTACGTCAATGAATGTGGGATAACGCAATCTTATATTTACCTGTAGACAAATACTTCATCATTCTTTATCTTGACAGAAAATTTATTTTGTGACTTTTATCTTCATTCATTGATAGAAAAAGAGAAAGAAACAAAAAAGATCGTATTCGAATGATCCATTTTTCTTTTTATTATGTTGGTACTTATAATAAAAATGTTAATATATGAATGTGAATTCTAACGAATAAAAATGACAAATACAAGTGTAACAATTGATGATACCATAGAATTTATACGTATCTATATTATTTGTCGTTGGCTTTATTTAATTGTTTTCGGTATTGGTATGATTGGAAGTATATTTAATTTAATAGTTTTCTGTCGAAAAAAATTTCGTTCGAATTCATGTTCAATTTATTTGATAGCTTATTCAATAAATAATTTTATGAATCTTACTGTTGGCCTATTTATATGGTCATTAACTCTTGGTTTTAATCTAGATTTAGAGTATAAAATAGTGATTTATTGTAAAATTCGTCGATATTTTACACATGTTAATTATCTTCTATCATCCTGTTTATTAACTATGGCATCAATTAATCGTTATGCACGTGTTCGTCAAGCACAATTAACAGAAAATCGTCATCGTTATATAGCTTTATGTAAACGTCGAACGACATATATTATTGTTATTCTGACGATTACTTTTTGTTTACTTGTTAATATACATATTCCAATATTTTTTGAAATTTCTGAGAATGACTGTTATGCTCGAATGGGTGTTTACAGAATTTTATTTGATGTTTACTTTCTTGTTTTCTATGCTTTATGTCCTCCGTTATTAATGGTCATTTTTAATATAGCAACTGTTAGACATATAAGATGTATTAAAAAACTAATTAATCCAACCGTATCTCGTCGTGAATATAATTTTATTGTTCTTGTTCTTGCACATAGTTTTTCAAATGTAATTTTCACTATACCATATACAGTTAATAAGTTTATTTATTATACATTTGACAATACAAAACTATCAGAAAAAGATAAACTTGTTAATGCTGTAACACTTTTAATTGCATTTATGAATCCTGGATTTTCATTTTATTTATATACATTAACAACAAAATCTTTTCGAGATGAATTTATTCGAGCTTGTAAAGAATTTTTCCTTAGAAAAAATTCTTATTCACTTCAATACAAAATAAATGATATCAAAAGACAACAAAATAATGCAATAGGTTCACGTGTTTCTATACCAATAATATTATCAGAGAAATATTGACATTATAACAGTTTTTGTTTGCTTCTTCATTGTTTTTTGATCTATTTTTATATTTTCTCATGTATATTAAGTTAGATACTATTGTATTTGCAAATTTTTTTTTTCTTTATCAATAAAATGAACGAAGATCGCAATGCTATGTTCTTTTGAAAAATACACAGCTCAATAGTAAGAATATATATCTATGAAAAAAAGTGCAGTTGAATGCAAAAAATTTTTTGCAAAAATATGATAAGTCCATGACCTCATATTGCCAATTTATAAACCAATCAAATTTTTTCTTATTAAAAAGAAAAATGTCTCAACTGCAAATTTTTTATCAGATATATGTTTTCAAAATGAATTTGACGATGAAGAAAAGTTCAAAACTAACCAAGTCCAAAAAGGTTCTTGCTACTTCGCTATAGAACAACAGAATTTTATAGCTTCTATTATTTTTTTTCTTTAAATCAACCGAGAAATACAAACACACGTTTTATGCTACTTTTGATGGCATAAAGAATGTGCTTTTCAATTGTATGTGAGAAATTAAATGCACTTCTGGCTTTTATAACTATAATATAGCTTTTTCTAAAAGTAGACTGAGTTAATTGATCGTTTTTACTACGTGGCATTTTTGCAACGGTAAAAAAAATGCTTTTTGATTTATTTTCTCTGTTAAATTGTCATGACTTGTAATTTTTCGAATAAATAACACAAATAGAATTCAGTTCATGTATAATTTGAGAATATTGCGGCTGATGCTCCTGAAAAGCTTTGCATTTCATAAAAACTTCATTTTTCAAACTTTTTGATTAAAGATCCAGGAATAAATCGCAAAAGTTTTGCTCAAATGTGATATCGACTAAATTTCTAATGCTCTACATTTCGATGTACTTTTGTTCCAGTTTAATCCATTTATATAGCTCAAAATAATTCAGAACTATAAACTTTTCAAGTTGAAAAAACGTTTCAAGAACTTTTGTAAACGAAGATCTGAAACGAGTATTGAGATCAATAGAGTAGAAACTTGAATTCACTTCTCTTCTCCCCACAGACCATGATAGATACCCTCGGAACCCGTCACAAACCGCGCGACAGTCACCTTGGAAATTCGCCATAGGCTACAGTAGACATCCCGAATGGATGAATGTGCGCATAATTAAAGAGAACGCTCACATCCACACACTCTGCACGTACTTGTAGTGATTTATCTGATCTTATCAGAAGTATCACAATCGTTTCAAGCGAGAAAAGTCAAAATCATTAATTTTGTATAGTTGGTCTTTCATTGATGGCGTTTGCTATCTACCGTAAGACAGTACACAAAATTTATAGTACAAAATGTCGACTATTGTATTTCATCGATGAAGACATTTTAGAAAGATGATTAAGTTTTGGATGTATCTTCAAAAACTAAATAATCTAAGAAGAAAGAACTACATTTACACAATAAAATTGTGATTTTTATAAATGTGTCGAAAACGTCCTATAAGACAATAGTTAATTCAATTTTTATAAATTGATTCAAATGATATTGTAAAATAATAGTGACACCTAATGTGGTATCATAGTATAAAATCTTTTTGACAAATCTATATTGGCATGCAGGTATCTATCGAATAGATATAAGGATCCATATGTTGTACTGTCACTTTGTGGAAAAGTGCACTAAAGTAGAAATCGATCCGGTTAGAAAATAATTTATAGAGATACCATCTTTTTTTGATGACATTTGTTGAGAACAAGGTCGCTTACTCTCATTAAAATAGTTCAACGATGTTCATTCAAAACCTATTAGTTTTACTTTTTTTTGAAGTATATATAATTTTTCAAAAAAAAAATACAATCAAAACTGATTTTTCTTGTTTTGAGTTAAACTTCTATCATATATATGTTGGTAAAGATCAAATTTAGGTTTAGATTGTTATTGAAAGAGAAAGGTTCGGTTTGTCTAAAAAACAAAGCCTAAGTGAAAAAACAATTCAAGATTTGGATTTTAGCAATCAGTTGATGAGTCAATATTTTTGTTGTCGTACTATATAGAAATATATCACATATTCATTTTTGAGAAACCTAACTCATTAACCGATTGATAATGATCCAACAAATCAGTCGGATTGGACTAGTTTTAAAATTCTCGACTGATTACAAATGCGAAATGCATACATATCTTTTAATTAATACATTTTCTTCTCACATCATGTTGTTCATGATTTGGAAAACTAAATTTAGTTATAGACGGTTTGAAAGAAAAGATTATTTCCTGTCAACCGACGAAAAAAAAAATCTTCTTACAAACTACTTCTATTAATAATTAAGTTACTACCCAGTGAAAAATTTTTGCGATTTTCAATCGGATTTTTCTGCAACAAAATCAAAATTATAATCGATTGATAATTTTGATTATTTTTGATCACGACTGATCCATTATTTGACATTGTTGCTTATTTAATGTGAAATTTTCTAATTGAAATCGGATTACTTTGCAATATAATCGAAATTATTAATCGATTGGTAATCCTCGATTTGCTACAGAATTATCCGATTTTAATCAGATAATTCCACACTGAATAAGTAACAATATCAAGTAATAGTTAAGTCGTGATCAACAATAATCAAAATTATCGATTGATTATAATTTTGATTTTGTTGCAGAAAAATCCGATTGAAAATCGCGAAAATTTTTCACTGGGTATTGTGTTATGATTTTTGCATCATATGTTCTATTTCATTTGTTGATTTAATCTTAATATTGTTAATTGAATTGAATATCTAGTCTGTCAATAAAGGAAAATGAGTTATACAACAGGTAAAAATAAAAAATGACAAAAATAACATGTCTTTTTTCTTATTTATTAAAAAAGTTCTCAAAAAGTGTGTTACTAATCAGAAATAATCTTCTGAGTTTGAGTAAGAAATCTATCTACATAATATATTCGTCCTTATTCTGCTTTTCCTTTAATAACGTGATTTATATGTCAAGATCAGTATAAATAAAAAAAAAAAAGAAGATGTATATCGGTCATGCAGAAATATCTCAATGTATATTTATTATTGATCGTTTCATAATGTCACGATTAATATATGAGAACGTTGATAAAAATTACAAATAAGAAAAAAACTCATATCTTATCTGTTTCTTTTCTCATTAAAATTGTTAGCCTTAAGACATTATTTCTTGTACCACTTATTCTTATCTCTTGATTTCCTAAGTTAGTCGGAAATAAATTTGAGTTCTTGTTACTATATATTTCCTGTTTATTATTATTTCCTACCACTTATGCATATTACTCTACACTAATAGTTAGTTAATTTGCAGTTCTATCGTTTATGACAAGGACAATATACATGTGAGGGCTGCAGTACACTATTCTCTAGGTTCTATACTATCACGACACTCGTCCTAGAAAGACAGCTGGTGTTTTCTTTTTTTTTTTGCATGACAGAATTCATATTAAAGTATAAGTATAGAATGTCTCGTCGTTGTAATGATAATGAGAATACAATATTTTCTAGAAAAATATGTCTTACGAGAAGAGCGTCTCTTTTTTTTCAGAATTATTATTGAAAACTTGGAGATTTTTTCGACTAGTGTATTAAGCCGTTAATAAATAAGTATCAGGAGGAAGATTTTTAATCTTGAGAAATTTTCGTTCTTCCACAATGAATTTCATGAGTTTTTATTCATTTCTTTACTTATCATTTCTCATAAGACCATTCGATCCCTTCTCCGAATCTGATGAACTAACTTTAGCAAACATGTTCTTATCAGTGTCCTGAGTCATTGCATTGTCCCCCCCCCCCCCATTTTCCCTCCCTCTTCTCACATCCAACCTATCTCGGGACATCCGTATGTGAAGAAAAGTTTAAAATCAAATGGGAAAATCCCATGCAAAGGTATGGTATAAAAGGAGTTATCTTTTTCTTTGTCTTCCTCATTCAGATTTTCATTTTGCAACAACAAACCTTGATTGACATTATGCGACCTCTGCTACTATCTATTTAATGTGCCATAGAATCTCATTGATATACAATATTTTCATTCTAAATTATATATATTTCTTCATTTTTCTTCTTATTTTATTTGAATTTATAATAGTTCCGTTTCTTATCTGATAGATGTCGCTATAAGTCATATTGTGTCATGTTTTTCTGTAAACTTAGCGTATTTATTCTTTTGAAAATCTAAGAAATTCTTCATCAATATAGAAAATAAAATACATACTTTCTTCTTGATAGTTATAATATAATGAAAAACTAGTTAAAACAAGTAATAGAATTAACTAATCGACATAATGACTATCCATGATATATTATTAATATATTTATTCATCTGTTCTTGATTAAATGAAAATAGTTACTTTAACGAATACCTAGCGATAGCGCTTTCGTAGTTGATCTCATTAAAAAGATTTATGTAGAAAAATTTGAATGTTGTTTTTTTTTTTTCATCTTTCGTTTCGTGCATATGAAATTGAAACCTTCATGATAAGAGGAAAAAAAGCTTAATCTTAATCCGAAGTTAATAGAAGGAGAGTATGATTAAAATAGTATTTTTTATTTTTTTTAAATACATACATCTAAGATAATACTCGGTTGATTGAATCTATTCTTTAGTCAATATTTTTCTCTTTGGAACAAAAAAAGAGTTTTTTCTTCGTTGTCGTCTTCTTTCTCTCTTTCTTTTTTTGTTCTTCTTCGCCTTCGTCTTTTGGTATTTATTTCACGATATTGTTCTTTTCTTGTTTCTAACAAGACAACGAAAGTCTATTGTTGATTTAACAATAATAACAACAACAACAACAGACATGGCTATTCAAATATTAATTGATTGAACAATGGACTATATATAAAAAAACGGAGCAATCACAATATTATATTTATTCGTTGACAGCACTATACATCATCTGTTGGATTGATGAATGTCGAGTATCATGAAAACGATAAAAGAATATTAGTAACAGAAAAACTTTCATGATTTTTTTTTGGTTTTTGTAGATTCGAACAGATACAATCGATGAGAATGATGTAAATTAGATCGTGGTTTATACATCTTTTTATTTGTTTTTCTCCTTTATGATGTTTCCCTCCACTGTTTTAACTTTTATCTTCTATTTTGTGTTATTTTTCACAACGTATTTAACTCTAATTTCATCAAAATCGGTTGTTATTGAAGTTAAAGGTGATTGTGCAACAATTGGTCAACAAATTGCACATGAACATGGATATCGTTATGTTCGACAGGTTTGTTTTATTTTTTAGGTTTTATTTTTTTCTTGAAGTCAGAGTTTTATATTTAGATTTTTGATGGTTTTTGTGAAATTGAAGAAGATCCATTATCGAAAAATCATAAACGATATCGACGAGCTATTGAGCAAGGAATTGATCCTGTTAAAATTCTTCTAGAACATGAACATGTAAAAATATAACAAATAATAAAAGTTTCTTTGTTTTTTTTTATTTTGTTTTATTGAAAATTTAATTAGGTTGAATGGGCTGAAAGTCAAATACCAAAAAAACGACAAAAACGTGAATTTATTTTTAATGATCCACAATGGAATTCAATGTGGTATTTGGTAATGAATAATAATTTTAATATTTTTTGTAAAATTATTTTTCATTAATAAATTTGATTTAGATGAGACATTTACAAATGCCTACTGTACCAGATTTAAATGTTACTGGAGCTTGGGAAATGGGTTATACTGGTCGAGGACAAGTTGTTACATTTCTTGATGATGGTCTTGAATTTGATCATCCAGATTTATTAGAGAATTATGTTTGTTTTATTTAAAGATTTTATTTTCTATAAGAATTAAGTATTTTATTTTCATACTGATAGGATAAAGAAGCTAGTACAGATATCAATGATAATGATGATGATCCAACACCACGTTATGAACCAACTAATGAAAATAAGTAAGAACAAAAAATTTTTATTCATGAATTTCTTTAGAAAAAAAAATATGTTTTTTTCTTTTTTGTTGAGACATGGAACTCGATGTGCTGGTGAAGTAGCAGCAAAAGTTAATAATAATATATGTGGAGTTGGTATTGCTTATCATGCTAGAGTTGGTGGTATTCGAATGTTAGATGGTGATGTAACAGATAGTGTTGAAGCACGATCACTTAGTCATAGACCTGATCATGTTCAAATTTATTCTGCTAGTTGGTAAGAAAATTTGAAAAATAAAAAATACATGTTTAATTATGAAAGATATGCTATTTTTGTTTTTTGTTTAAGGGGACCAGATGATAATGGTCTTGTTGTTGATGGACCTGGTCGTTTAGCAAAGAAAGCATTTCAAGATGGTGTTTTACATGTAAATAAAAAATTAAATTTTATATTTTTATTTTATTTTATTTTATTTTTCTGATTAATTTTAGGGACGAGGTGGTAAAGGATCAATATTTGTTTGGGCTAGTGGAAATGGTGGTCGATATTCAGATTCATGTGCATGTGATGGTTATATTACTTCAATTTATACTGTATGAAAATAAAAATTAACAATAAGATAATTATAATTGAAATTATTTTCTAGATTGCTATTAGTGCAACAACAGAACGTGGTAATAAACCTTGGTATCTTGAAGAATGTTCAGCTACTCTAGCATCAGCATATAGTAGTGGTCAATCAAATGCTGGTGAACGTGATATTGTATGTATTATGAAATTGGATCTAGAAGAAGTGTCAGAATATAGAAGTAGTAATTTCGACCCCTCCCCCTTTCCATATAGACGTGATAGACACAACTGTGAGATTAATATGATAATTGCCCTTTACTTTCTTTCACACTTACTGCAATATATTGTAATTACTATCTTTCAGTAGCGACATGCATTAAAAGTCAGTAGGAATTATATATTGATTAATTTCCTGTTTTTTTTTTTTACAATACCAGCAGTTCCACCGTGTTTCATATTTGTTTCTCACTGGGATTGCACTAACAGTTTTTTTTCTTTGGGTTAAATAATTATATTTATTGTATGTTTTTATTTAAAAAGTTTACGACGGATTTAAATCATGAATGTACAAATCATCATACGGGTACATCAGCTGCAGCACCATTAGCTGCAGCTATTTATGCTCTTGTTCTTGAAGCAAAGTATGAAATTTATATACAATTGAAAAACTTATTGTTGATTATCTTTCAGTCCTAGTTTAACATGGCGTGATATTATGCATATAACAGTTCTTGGTTCACGCCCTGATGCTATTCCATCAAATACAAATGTTGTTCGTAATGCTGCTCGATTTAATGGTAAAACTATATGATGGTTCTTTTATTATAATTAGTATGGAAATTTCTGTTTTTTTTTTTGCATAGTGAGTAGTAGATTTGGTTTTGGTCTAATGGATGCTGGTTTAATGACATGGTATGCAAGTGGTTGGAAAAATGTTCCACCCATGTCATCATGTGAATCTGCCATAAGTTATCCTAAACGAATAATCACAACACGTTCAGATCAAACATTTTCATTAAATTTAATCGAATGTAAAAATGATATTGATCCAAGACATGAAGTTAATTATATTGAACAAGTACAAACATTTGTTACTTTAACAACGGATAGACGTGGTGAAATTGAAATTTATCTTTATTCACCATCGAATACAAGAACACAACTTTTACCAGTAAAGTTTGATAAAAAAAATTTTTTTTTTGATGTACAAAAAATGAATTAAATGAAAAATTTTAGAAACGAGAACGTGATCAAAGTAATAAAGGTTTTCAAGATTGGCCATTTTTAACAGTGCAATTATGGGGTGAAGTACCACATGGACAATGGAAACTTCAAATAGTTAATACTGGTGGAGGATCAGGTAAATAAATAATAATTTAATATTATATATTTTATTCATATAAGCTAATATTTATTTACAAAATATTAAAAAAATCCCTATTCTAGACAAAAATCACGTTAAGACAATAATAATTTAATGAAAATTCATTTGAGTAAATAACGCATATTATATTATCTAATGAAAATTAAATATTGAGTTAAATTTAATTATTCTAAGATAATAGAGTTTACTTATCTACCGACTGATATTAATTCTAATTACAAAAATATATTTATCGATTGTATTATATAATTCACGGAATAGTATTGAAGTGCTTAAATGGATGAATACTTGTAATTGAACTGCATGTTAAATATACTTTTAGAAATTATAAGTAAATATTTGTTCATAAGATTTATTTACTTAACAGAAATCGTCTGTCTGCCCGTCTACAACAAAGAAAAACAAAAAATTTTTTTTTCTACAGTATTTCAAATTTTTCTGAGGATTTTTTTTTGTAAGATTTAATTCGGATTTTGAGTAAGACAAGGACAAATCAATCCTCTTATCATAGGTATTATACGTTATAAAAACGACTGACACTCCATGAAGAAAATGTTGATTTTCGTTAAATATAAGTTCCTATTCAATCAAAAGAATAAATTCGAATGTTGTTTAACTTTAGATTATATGTTAAAAACTAAATATTTCTTGAGATGAACATTGTGTGACAAGTAAATGTTATTTCCTCAATCAAACAGCATAGTTAATAAAATTTCCTGATTCCATTAATTTAAATTAAAGTTGAGACCATTTCGATTTCACTTAAACATGCATCTTGAATCAAGTATATTCAAATTGTACGAAATTTTTAGGATATATTGAACCTATTGTGAAAAGACTATACAAAAATTTTCACTTCTATACTATAATGTTTTCGCCAGATATTCAATTAACAAGAGTCACTCATATGAGAACTCCAAATTCTTTGTGTGTTGTCATTCTATATAATTAGTGCGTGTTATTTTGCAAGAGCATGTCAAGTTGCAGAGCGTGATAAAGTCGCTTCTTTTTAATTAAATTATTACTTTGTTAGCCACGAAAAGGAATGAAATATATAATGTCTCACAAGACTCTCAATAAAGTGATGTTCTAATTATAAAATTGCTATTTATATAAACGTAATAAAGCTTAATGGAAGAAAAAAAGAAAAGAGAATTCTATCCCACTCTATATTTTCACATGCTCTTTCAAAACGAAAAAAAAAGAAAAATTAAATATCTGGAATAATTACACATAAAGAATTCTGAGTTGCCACGATCAATTAAGTAAAAGGCGACGAAAATCATCAAAGGTTTCGGCAAAAAAAAAAAACGAGATGTCAAATAAAAAAAGAAGCATGTCTTTTATGAAAAATCAGACCTTGCACTATCATCTCAATTTCAATTTTTTTGACAAAGATTAATTTTCTTTTTTAATTTTGAGTAGGGGTCGTTGGCCTCGATAGAAGTTTGCACAGAATTGAATTTCTAATAGTAATATTAGAACCGTGTTTGATTTTTCTTGTCGAATATTTGCAAACGAAAGCTGATTATAAGGATTGCACCGACAAACGAAATATATGTAGGTTAGTAGAGCAAGCCTTCCTCTATCTAATGATGTAAATATTATCAAGTTCTATTGCGTACTATCGAAACATCAATCAAAGGCGCAACCTTCGCTTTGACTACAGCTAAATATGACAGGAATGGTACTCCCTATTGATATATCAGCAAGACTTCAAGAAAATGGTTTATTTAATCTACATAGATCTCAGTCTGGGGTTATAAATCATCGTGAGACTTATATTCACTTTTGTCATATGTGGAAATAATAACGAATGATAAAAATTTTTCATCTATGTTTAAATTGTGAAATGAACTTTCTATTTTGTTTTTTTTTTAGCTACATTAATGTCTTGGAAATTAATTGTTCATGGTACACGTGAATACCCTATTTCACCTCGTTCTACATATATTCAGTCAGCATATGAATCAGATCGATCTAGTGTAAGTCTTTATCCGGCGTTCTATTTCGATTCGTCATATCAATCTATATTTTCTTCCCATTATTTATTCCTATATGTTCTTCTATTTCGAATAATTTTTTATTTAAATCTCTAGTGGAAAATGTGATAGTAGTTTTCTTTATTGTTTGTTTTTATTTTCTATAATGATTATTATATATATATATATATTTTTTTTTTTCTATAGTTTTAATTTTAATCTCATAATTGTTCTTTTAATAATGAATGATTTAGTTTTGTGAACGGTGCTCCTTCTTATTCTTCTTCTAGCTTGTTTTTAAATCTTTGCATACAAATACTTATCAACATTGGCCAAAATCCCAACGACGTATTCAAATATTGAAACCAACTGTTACAAGAACACCAAATTATCGAACATCATATTCTTATTACAATCGATATTTTTTTGCATAATCAAAATTGGTTTTTTACATCATAATTGATCTCTTCAGGGTTTTTTTGTATACATTCCGATTGTTTGTTTTTTTTTTGAACAGTGACGTCTTCTCAGATTTTGACGATCAGAAACTATAAACGTTGTTGCTATGATTTTTTTTTATATAAAAACAAAAAACAGTATGCGTGAATAATCTCTCTTTCTCTTTCACATATTATTTTTTAAACTATTGCTGTTTTCTACTCTCTAATAAAGCGAATAGTTATAACTTTGTATGCTTTTTGTTTCTTATTGTTTTTGATTTACCTTTGAAGTTTAAAAGATAAAAAGAAAAAAGAAAGAAAAAAGTTCTAATAATGAATATATCTTTAGAAAGCGATACGAAAAGTTAATGAGGTAAAAAAAAAAAAACAAAGAAAAAAAAATATATTGATATTTACACCACGACCTACCATTTATTGTCGTAATGTTTGTTTGTTTATGTGTTATATATATATATAATACTTTTAAACGTCATGATACTGATATTGTGGATGATAATCACTGTTTAACTATGTACCGTAAATGTATTTAAGCTTTGTTTTCTAATGTGCTCTTTCATTTGATCGAATAATACTTTGCTAATAATTGTGATTTTTCCTCCCGCGTAAGAAAACTTATCGTGGGTAGCTCTGTTTGTTTTTTTAGCTGATTTTATTTCTGTAACTATCGACTTTATAATACTTTCTATTTCAGTGCCATATTGAATGTAAACTTGATGAACCATGTGGTAATACTGATACAAATTGCACTGCATGCCGACATTTTAAACAACCATTAACTGATGGAAAATTGTAAGTTAATATCAGTTGTCGTAGGAAAAATGAACGTCTCAATATTTCAATTATATATCTTTTCATATTCGTTTATTCAAACGTATTTTCTTCAAAATATAAGTTTTGTAATCGCCTACAAAACGATATACCTTTTGTGAATCTAAATAACATTCAGTTTTTTTCTAAAACTATCCATATTTTATTGGTACTTGAATAATATTATGTACTAAAGATGTGCATCGCACCTAAAAGACGAGACAAGGGCGACTTAGAGAACGACAGAGGTGGCTACAGCCTAAAATCTTCTCGACTGGTGACGTGGCCACTCGGTTCCTAATGGTAACTGAAAATTTCTTTTTCGGCAGTTTATAGTATTTTTTTTAATATCGCTTCACTTCTGAATACTTACCTAAGAACTACAACATAAAGTTTAAAATACCACGAAATTATATTTAATTAAGCAAGACGTAATCGGACATATGCATAGACACTTATTAGATGATTGTTTTCGTCTCAACTTATTTTCTAGTTATATTTATGCACACATCTAAATTCAAGATCAGTTTAAATATGATGCTCATCAGAGTGACATTCACTAATTTTTTAATTAGATCAACTTGTTAACAGGACACTTATGAATCAATATTAATTATGATTTTACTTAAAAACTTAACAAATGAATTCGTCAACGATGAAATTCGTTTCAACATTTTATGTACATTCCTTTTCAAAGATTTCCCTAACAATAGAATGTAACAGCCAGTATATTTGAGGTGCGGTCATCTCCACGCAGGCTCTGAATATTTCTGTTATGTACTTATTTAGAGTGATATAGTGTCTTGTGATCAAAACTTACCATTAATGTTAGATTAGAAATTGCATTAGGACAAACTAAAACCTTATATCTCTCACTAAACACAATAATAATATCAGAACAGACTTCTATTAACAAGAGATATTGATCAAGGAATGATTTACATATAAATTCATTGGACCATTCAATTTGAGATGATTTGGATTATTGTATTTAATTGAAAAAAAAATCATAAAAGTTCGACAAAAAATGGTTTTATAAAAATGTTTATCTTGTACTGTTCGTTTGAAGTTTGTTTTGGAAAAATAATAGTTGCTATGTCGATTCACAAAAAAATATACATCATTTTCTAGAAAATTAAAAGACAAAATTTATTTAAAAAAAGCCTGAACAAGATATAATTGAAATGTGGAGAAGCTCATTTTTCTTACAATATAAGATAATGAAGAAAAATTCTTACTATTTTTGATTATATTTTAGTCGTTGTGTTGGTATATGTCCAGAAGGAACATATCCAGATGAAAAAGATAAATTATGTTTACCTTGCCATTCACAATGTGGTTCATGTCGAAATGCAAGTGAAATAAGTTGTATTAGTTGTAAATCAGATTTATTTCTTATACATGATCTGATGACTTGTGTTGAATCTTGTCCTGAACAATATTATACTGGTAAGACTTTAATTTTAGCAAAAAAAAAGAAAAGAGAAAAACAACATTCAAAATTAATTTTTTTTTTCTAATAAGATCATCATCTAAGAAAATGTATTCGTTGTAAAATTGATTGTGCATCATGTGATACAAGTTCTCATATATGTACATCATGTTCAGATGGTTATGCTCTTAAAGATACAGATTGTATTAAAGCATCAGAACCTTGTGAAACAAATGAATATTTTGATTTTAAAGTAAATCAGTAAGTAAAAAAGAAATCTTTAAATGTAAAACAATATTTAAATTCATTTTTTTATTTTTACATTTAAAGATGTCGATGGTGTGATTCAAGATGTTTAACATGTAGTGGATCACAAATAGATCAATGTAAATCATGTGATAAAACAGGCAAATATCCATATCTTCAATATCATGCTTGTGTATCATCCTGTTCACCAGGATTTTATCTTTCAAAAAGTTTATTTCAATGTCTTCCATGTCATGAAACATGTCTTAATTGTATCTCTTCAAGTGAATTATCATGTACATCTTGTAAATTAGGTTATGTTTTTCTTCCTGATAATCATCGTTGTGAGAAACATACCGGTAAACCATATTATCTAGATAAAAATACAGGTGAAACTCATACATGCCATGGTTCATGTACACAATGTAAAGGACCACAACCAAATGATTGTATTGCATGTAATACAATCAATGAAGTACTTCTTGATGATGGACATTGTGTTAATAAATGTCCATTAGGATCATATAAAAGTGAAAAAAAGACAATTGATTTTCAAACAAATATTTGTTTGTCATGTCCAACTGGATGTACATCATGTTATAATATTAGTCAATGTGATCAATGTGATGAATCAAAAGGATATAAATTAGTTGGTTCAAATTGCATTCCAACATGTAAACAAGGGTAAAAAAAAAAAATTTGTATAAAACAAAAACAAAAATTTTTTTCAAAAATTTCTTTTATATATTTCATAGTACTTTTCCATCGGGTGATCATTGTGAATTTTGTGATAATCAATGTTTAACATGTACGAATTTAACACATTGTTTAACATGTGTTGATCAATTAGTTTTATTCAATAATCAATGTATAGAAGAATGTCCAGATGGTTATTATATATATAATCAACAATGTTTATCATGCCATCCGACTTGTAATACTTGTACAGGTAATTAGTTGAATGATTTTTAAAAATAGAAAAAATTGAATTTCTTTTATTTTGATTGATTTATTTTTTTGAGGACCAGGAGAAGATGATTGTAAAACATGTACACAAGGTTTTAAAATTGATACTAGTGGAAACAAATGTATAAGTAAATGTGCTAATGGAAATTATTTTGATAAAAATGATGCTGTAAGTTAATGTTTAGATTGAAAATTGAGAGATTATTTTTTTAATATATAAATGTGTCAACGAAAAGTTTTCTGGTTGTTTTTTGAAATATTTTTCTAATAACATTTAGAATTATGACAGAATTGAGCAAGTGATTAACCGAAATGAGTTTTTGATGATAAAAATGCAATAATTTTAATAGAAAGTCCATCTAATCTTTCATTTTTTGAAAATAATGAATCTAGAAATTTCATTTCAATATGAGCTCTTTGAACAGTCAACACAAACAAAATTATACAAAACAAAAATTTAGAGAGAGAATGAAGTAGAAAACTCACGCGTATGACTTGAATTATTCACCTTATTTTTTTCGATAGACTTTTGGAACTAGTGCTCTCAATATTTTCTAGCAGTGACATGAACTAAAATATTTGACACCGTTAGACTTTGGCTATTCCAAAAATTGCCCGAAACTGAAGCTGGTAAAGGATTAGATAAATACAAAAATTTTAAATCTATTTAGAAATTTTTCTCAAAATTAAGCTGTTGAGATCAAAGACACCACATTTTTCTATTCTAATTTTTTTCAAATCGCCGAATCCAACAGAAAGTAATTGAGAGAAGATACACTCTAAAATCAAGCAGCTAGTTTTTCAACAACAGTTCGAAATTCTCATATGTACGACGTAAAAAGTAGACATTTCTTTTGTTTTTTTTCTTAGTTTTATAAAAATCTAACAAAAAAAAAAAATTTAAAAATATTCTTATTTTGTTGAAAATTTTGTTAATTTCTTTTAAGAAATGCAAAATATGTACAAACAATTGTCTTGAATGTTTAAGTCCAGGTTCATATTGTCGTCAATGTAAATATCCAATGGCACTTGATACATTAACACATCGATGTTTATTGTGTTGTACAACAAATATAACAACAAATAATTGTTGTCAATGTGCATCATCATGGGATGGTAAGAAAGAATTTTAGAATTGTTTTTGATTACAAAAACAAAAAAAAAAAATTTTTTTTTTTCTTTGTTTCCAAAGGTTATTGTCTTCATCCACTTGTAACACCATCAATACATATGAATAATTGGTTAACTTCATCAATTGATATAATGCGTAATAAATTTAATAAATTAGATAATTATCGTCAAACATTTATTATTATTGTATTAGTTATATCTTTTATTAGTATTATAATATGTTTAATTATACTTAGCCTTCGACAAATATTTAATTCACGTTTAATATCACGACAAGAACATGCTAATGTTGAATATGTTATGTTACAAAATGTTGACGATCATGATGATGAAGAAACTAAGTCAATAGAAACGAATGGTCATACAAAAAAAATCCTACCGACTGACACAACTATTTCAATTAATCACGCAGAAGAGACTTAATTTAAAAAAAATAACAAGTCTCATGTTTTTTTTTCGTTGTTCTTTAAATTTTGTTGTTAGCTTTTTCCGTTTTTGTTAATGTCTATTTTAAATTGTAACAGTGACTTGATTTCATTCCATCATGATCTCTTCTTTTTTCTTTTTTTTTTTGTTTTTAATCAATGTCTTTCATATAAAGAAAAAAAACAACAAAAAATCCTTAATATATATATAAACACCGTTGATTCTCCCTTTATTAATAATGTACCAACAAAAATAAAGAATGCAATATGTAAAACAAATGTTTCAGTATTGATGTTCATTGATAACAAAGCGATGTCTTAATTATTTAAGATATTTGTATACCATAGATAAGGTTGGCCAGTCTGGCCGGAAGCCCAAATACTATTTTTTAATATACAGCTTTCATAATATATCATAAAAGTATGATTTTTTTACTAGTTCTAGTACTCATGTAGTGCTGATGATTAGTTATTGTTTGTGTTATATAACCTGTCCGAAACCAAATAATCAAGCATCTTCATAAAACCAAGTAAGAGTTATAACAGATGAATAAGTGTGATAAAAGTACGCTTTAGAAAGAGACTTTACGAAGACACTTGATTACTTTCATTTCAGACAAGATATACAATCCAAACAATAACTAATCATCAGCACTACTTGAGTACTATAACTTCTAAAAAAAACACATACTTTTCTGATGTATTATAGAAGCTGCATGTTAAAAAAAGAAGAATTGGGGCTTCTGGCCAGACTGGCCAACTTCATATATATATATATAATCAAAATCTTTATGATGATCGTATTTGTGTTTAATTAAATATATTAGTGTTAAATAATTCTTTCTCTCTGTCTATCTTCATTTTATTTCCAATAATAAACACACACAACTAGGAAAAAAAAAACAAAAAGTTATTCACTTTCTCTCTATCTGTTTAAAATATGAATGAAAAATCCGATCTTTTCTTCACACTTGGTTTTAATAAAATAATTGCACAAATGATATAAATGTTATTTTTCATCAGGAAAATGTTCAATGCTATCCGTCATTGTTGTTGAAGGCACAATTGGTGGTTTAAGTGCTGTTAAATTAAATAATGAAGTTGAATGATTAGGTCTAGAAAATACTTTTAGTATGAAACAAAATAAAAAATAATCATATTACCGCATATGTGAGTATGAATAATGATCACCTTGTGTTATAGCTAATCGATCCCGTACTAATTGTTTAGCAACCTAATCATAGAAATCATATTCTATTCAATATTTCGATCAAAGTTAAATAAATTATCAAACTAAGAACCTCAAAACATGTATAAAATTGATGAATAAATTCATTTTAGAGTAGTGTCTTCTAAGAATATGACTTTTCACAATCGAACCAGAAAACGCTGTATCTCTACTCGACCAGAACTCATTGTCATTCGACAGATACTTTCACAGTCATGATAAGTTTGCTAAAGTATTATTTTTTATAAAAAAAAAATGTACTATTTTATTGCTTGTATAAACAGCAACAAATAAAAAATATGTTTGTTTGTTACTGATGACACTATAATACAATGTAGTGTTCGTACTAAACTTCATAATTGTAAATACATACATGAATACTTTTTCTATCTTGAAAATACATGTTCATATTTTTGATAATTCATTTTTCTTTCCATGTATTCAATTACTTCGTCAGATGATTCAGCATCATCTGTAGATGAGTTTTCATTTTAATGAAACACTATCACTTTCCATTTCTGTGATCTGTTCTCAAATATAATAAATCGTTCAGTTAAAATCGAACTTGTTGTCACTCCTATGCTATTATATAAATATCAATATGAAAAAGTAAAAATATGTTCCACCATCAAGATCTTATTAATTGATGGATGAAATTCGAATATTCAACACTATTTTCGATCTATTCTAAAGATTTTTTTTTTTTGTCGTTGAAATATTTATCGTTTTGAAACCTATTCGAATTTCGACAAAGTCTTCATGTTTTTTTCATATTCTATTACATGAGTAAAAATTAAACTATCATCATTTCATACTCGTCTTGATGCTTCAAGAGCTTGTTCTTCTGCATCATGTAAACGTTCTTCTAATGCTTTGATACGTTTTGAATTTTTTGCTAGTATTCGATCCATCTAAATAAATGAATATAAACTTTTCTAATGAATATTAAAATAAATATTAATTTAACAAACTTCAGCGTCTTTTCGTTTGACATCACCAATTTCTGATTGTAATTGTTCATTACGTGAACGTAACTTATCAATTTTTTGTTTTAACTCATTTATTGTTGTTTCACTTTGACTAGCTATCGTATGACATTCTTCTTTATATCTAAGTTAAACAAAAAATGAAAACATGTCAATTAATCAAATAATAATTTACAACTCAAAAGTCTTAGTACAAAATATTCGCTTATTTTTCGACCATTAAAAAAACAACTGATTAGAATCAGAATTTCTTACTATTTTCAAATATGTATGTAGTCGTTAGTTTTTGTATCTTGAGACAGTTTCAACTCAGTATTATTATAAAGTACTAGATTCTATACAAATTCATATATGTTCATAAGCAAAACCTCGCCTGGATGTTTTCACTAAAGCATGTGCTTCTATGCAAAATCCACATCGATAAAAAATTCACTGAACTTTGCTCTAGAAAACTGTCGAGAAAAAGTGCTTTTGATCACTGAATTTTCCAAGTAGTGATTTTTCATTATCTCTTCATGAGTGCTTCCACACAATTCCTTATCCACATTCAGCATTTCGTTTTTTGTAGATTAACATTATAAAATATATATATATATATGGTTTACTTTATATACAATACTTTAGTTCTCACATAAACGAGCAGCATCTACACTTTATTGACGAATAATAATATAGAATGAATGTTGAAAAAAAACTTGGTAATCAAAACTATTGTTACTCGAACTCAATCATTAAAAAATTAATTCACATTTTAAATTCAATTGATTTCAGTCGAAATATAAAATTAATTAAAATCATATTCTGTACAATCATTATTTTGAGCCTAAGCTGATAATAATTGTCCAATCTTATCCTAAATAGAAATTCTAAGCACATATTCGAAAAATGTGAAAAACACGATTCTAAACTAATTGCTTTCAACTCTAACCAGTTGTCTTTTAAAGACTGAAAAATGTAAGAATATTTCGCAATAAAACCTTTTGCATCATAGATTTTTTGTTTCATCTTACTTAACAATCATTCGTTGTTGTCGATTAACTAAATTACGTAATTCATTAAATGTTACTCGATTGACATCATCTCTTTGTGTTAAACGTACTAGACATTCTTTTTCTTTTTCAATTATTTGTTCTTCATGTCTTTTCACCTTAAATATTAAAATAAAAAAAAAAAAAAGAATTCTTAAATATCAAATCTTTTTTTTACTAATTCAGCCATTCGTCTTTGTAATAATGTTTGTTCATTTTGTGTTGATGATAATCTTTTTTTTAATTCATTTAAATCATTAAATGTTGCTGTATAATCAAGAGTCATTTTATCAAGATCATTCGTTACTTTTTGTAATCGTTCAGTTAATTCTTTTTGTTTAAGTTCATGATTTTTTTTGTCAGCTTCATATGATTGTTGAAGCATTTTAAATGCTTGATGATTTTGTTCAAATTTTAATTGTGTATCATCTCGTTCACGTTCAGCTTGAACACATCGTTTAGCTAAATCTTCATTATCTAAAGCACTTTTTTCTAAGTTAAGACGTCGTTCTTGTAAAATCTATTAGATAAAAAATGAATTTTATTGAAAAATAATTTTTCTTTTAGATCAATGTAATATAACCTTTTCTAATTCATCTTCGACAGATCGTTTTGTTCTTAAACATTTATCGAATTCAATTTGTTTTTGATTTAATGCCTAAGAAAATAGATTTATATTTATTATAAATATAATTTTATTTTTATACCGCTTCCATATTATTATATTCTTCCATTATTCTTTCTAAATTATCATTATATTGTTGTCGTACATCTTCAACCTAGATTTTGTTTTTAAATAAATATTTTCAAATTGAAAAATAAAAAAAAAAACTAAAGATTTTCCTACAGCAGTACGTGTTTTAACAGCTGCTTGTTCTATAAGTTCATCAATTGTTCGATGCATTCGGTCATGTTCAAATCGATCATGATCAATATCATGAGTATGATGAGCAATTGTAGTATGAGCATGAGCATGTTGTTGTAATTCATCGATTGCTTCAGCAAGTTTTTCTTGTAGAGAACGACTAAATTTTTTTACAAAATGAATATTGACCATACATAAATAAGATCATATAAGATTTACTTTTGTTGTGTTAAATCTTTTAGTTTCGATTCCATATCATCTCGTTGTTGTATAGCATTTTCTCTTTCTTTTACAGCATGTTCAACTCTAGCAAAAATCAAAATTTCATATAGCTAGAAATAGAAATTCTATATTTAATCCTGACAGAATCACTCAGAGATTCATACGGAGGATCTCAGTCAGTTTCATTACACTGTTATAAGTACACAATATTAAATGAAACTGTTTATCTTTCAGATATAGTCTAATCAAGATCACAAGAATATGCTGATAATATCTATTAATTACATCCAACTATTATTTACATGAGTAAGCCATTCCGAAATACATTTGAATGCTTGTTTAATATCTGAACTTCGTTTGTATCCCAGTGAGATTCATTATTATATCATGTATTCATAATATTTAATCGAATCGTGTCCTTTTAGGTATGCATTGAGAACATGTAGTAGAGTATATGGATAACATGACTCAATGTATACACACTTGTTCTTCTTATGTAGAGCAGTTTAAATCATATATGAATACTGCATAGTGATGCACGGTTTCAAATGCCTATTATTATAGCTTAAACTTACTATTTTTCTATTTATTCTTGACTTGTATTTAAGTAGTCAGTATTTTATTATGAATATGCAGCATATCTTTTATTAAACCCTCAGTGAGTTTTGATTAGTAAGAGTGTAGATGCGGGTGTGACACTGAATATTAAAAGCTAGAAAAAAGTATCTCTTATTTTCTTAGCAGCTATTCTATTCCAATTAAAAAATTTCATTACGAATATAAACGTACAATTCGATCGAATCCAAAAGTTTTGAACATAACAAACTCTAGTGACAGGTGTGGTATCGGTGTCGATTTTTTTGACTCCAGCACTCATACTTACACTCACATTCTACAGCCATACCCTTTACCACCAATTAGAATCTACACGAAGTCCCGGTAACCTGAAAATGGTAATCCTCAAAGTAGTCGTACTACATTTTTATATCAACATTAACGATTCAATATCAACACAATTGCGATATATTCAATGAAAACTATTGAAATGTATATTAGATTAATAGTTTTGGTTTTTTTATACTTGCCTAACTTCAAGATCATCAATTGACTTTTGAAATTCAACAAAAGCTCCATCATAACCAAGCTCTTTTTTTAAATAATTACGCAAATCATCTTGCTAAAACAAAACAAAAATAATTTTCATCAATAAAGAGTTTTTTTTTTTTCGTAGTCTATACTTTTTGATAAACTTCAACTTGAAGTGTTTCATTTTGTCGTTCTAATTCTTTGACACGTAATTGACAATTCACAAATTCTCTACTTCGTTTTCTAAAAGAAAAACAAAACCCAATTTAATGAATTAAAAACAACCGAACTAATTATTCTCATACGTGAGTTCTTCACGTATCATATTTATTTCTTGTATAAGTTGTACTTCAGCTCGAGCGTGTTCTTCTTGTGCCTAAATAAATATGATATATGAAACCAACATGTTTTTATACGAAGAACCATATCGAACAAATATTTACCTGTTTAGTTTCCATATCAAGTCTAATTAAATGTGGTTTCAATGGATGTTCTAAATCTTCAATTTTTTCTTCAAGTTTAATGATTGTTTGTCTACTATCTTCACATAATTTCATTGTCTCTTCTTTTTCTTCTTGTAATAATTCTATTTGTTTTTTTTGTATTTCAATAATAGAATCATTATTTAAACTTAAGAAAGTATCTGGATGAATGCCTGATAGACGCTCTTCAACACTATGTCGTAATTCACGTCGTAGAGAATCATTTTCATCAGTTAATTTTTGAACTTTAGCTCGTATATTTTCTATTTCATACTACAAAATAGAAATTATTCAATGATATTTTCAATGAAACAATGAATTTTAATTTTCAATACTTGAAATGCAGTTAATTGTCTATGTAATTTTGTACTTTCAAGTTCCATTTCAGCTCTATTGGCGTCCATCATTGTTTTTGTGGCAAGTATCGATTCTTGTGGCTTAGAATCCTTTTAATCATCATGCTTACCGTTTCATAGGTAAAGCCTCTATTGAATTTTATATGCCAATCATAATTGTATACAGAGGGCACTCATTTTAGTACACGCTTATTTTCTTTGTTTGCTTTCTCTTTCTCTCTTTTGTTCTTCATTTGTATCACATGAAGATCTTTAGAGAAAAAAAAAGATACCAGCATTTTTATATGCATGAATTGATTGGATCTCATGGATAATTATTCATATATCTTATATGACATAATAAAATCTTGTAGCGATGACACATTGGTAAATCTATATGAAAAGTGACTTGACCCATAACTTTTATAAAAAAAAAATAAAACAAAACTATTCAATTACAGTACATCGTTAGCATGATATCTGCTGATATATGTTTTCCTTTTCTTCGATTAAAATAAAGTAATTAGTGAAGATGATTTATTCACAATGAATGAACATTTGTTAATCCATCTCGAAACATTATAAAATTTTTAAATACTGTCACAGTCAATCCGATATGTTTTACTTATATTTTTATATATAGTTCATGATCTTTGAACTTTTTTGATTAAAACTATGAAAACAAATTGAAAATAAAATTTGATCTTCAAATTTCATTTCCAAGATCTAGTAATATCTCATTAACTAAGCTATAGATTTTTAATAAGATAAATAAATCACGAATGATTCTCCATTATTATATAGAGAATTTTTTTCATTGACATTTAGTAAAGAAAATACACTCGTTAGAATGAATATTTCGCATGTGTGTTTTCATTCACCAATGCAATGTCAAGTACTGAATGAACTCAATAGAAAATTTGACGATTAGATCAATTAAAGGTGTGACAAATAAACAATTTAATGTTCGTACTATCCATTGAATGATCGATGATATCATCAATAGATAATATACATAATTACAGCTGTGACTATATGCGCATGAACACAGAAGAAACCTGTGAACCAATTTCATTAGACACAACAAGTATGCGTCTCGAGGACATATTTTCTCAGCTTTTCATTTATGCTTATGTCTTAAAACGTCAATTAGTGACAAATAATAACAAACACGTACAAAAATACAAACAATACAGTCACGATCAGCAATCGATGAATGACTTCTGAAAATAAAAAGAAAAAACATGCACATATATATAGAGAGAGAGTGAAATAGTTCGATCAGTACACACATATTATCGTTTAGAAAAGAGCAGTGTCATCTTCATCTACTGTTTGTATTCTTCTTTAAACGAATTGTTTTCAACGTTTTGTATTAGGTAAGAATTTAAGTTTTATTAAGGATTAGAACGTTGGATTCAAAAAACTCAAAACTAAAGTTGATATGAACAAGATTTCTTATCATCTTCATTCGATATCGCTTTGATAAATACAATGCAAATTTGTTGATGCCACAATAGTATTGTATTTAAAAAGAATGAAATTTTTATCACATGTAGCATCTTGCTCTAGAGAATTTTTTTTATAAATGATATTTTGATCTCAAAGCTTCTTTTTCAAAAACGTTGGTTTTCGTGAAAAAAATGAAAATTGAGATAAATATTGACAAATCTTTTTCTCTATTTATATTTTTTGATATTACATCTGAGAATTCTCGAAGAAGTTTCATTGCAACCAATGGCTTCTTGTTTTTGGATTAAGCTTTATTACTATTATATAAAAGAATACTTTTATGACAAGAGGGCAATTTTTTGAGATATCGAACTTTTCTCTCCTTAAAAAATAAGAATTTTACAAAAAGGGCTCTGCTATATGTTGAATATCTTTCGAAAACATCATGTTATAGAACTGAAAATTTCAATATATCTCGACCAAGATCGATTTTTCAGAGTGGCTTTGATATTTTTTTTTTGTCTTTTAAATATTATTACTACTATAATGGATCTACTAGAAGTAATAATAAAAGTCGATTCTCACTTTTTTGAAGTTGTCATTAATCAAGAAAATGTACTGTTATGTCGAACAAAGTTCTTTAAATACGATAATATTTAGTAAAGATTAGATCGAATTTATGAGTCAATAATCGCTTATTGCTTGTCTATTCTCACCATTAGATAGCACCAAATATTATTTGAAGAGAGAAGATCAAAAGAAAAGATCAGTTGGCATCTTATGTTTTGCACATTTGTCGAAACATCATCATGTCAACATCTATGAAAGATTCAACTTCACCAATTGAAATGAAAGTTTATGAAAATAAACCTGCATCAAATACTAAAACCGGTGGAAATTTTTGCAATCGTCGAAAAATTTTTCAAAATGAACTGAAAGAAATAGTGTCATTTCATCCAAAAGAATGGATTAGTGCATTTCATTTCAATTCATCATATCCCTTATTTGTCAAAGGTGATATTGATGGTTTTATGGCATTATTTATCAATAATTTGGCAACTTTATTAACAGCTATATTGTGTTTACAACCAATATTAGGAAATGATATTGTCTATGGCAAGATTGTGCCTGGGTAAGTATCTCTTTAAAACGTCTTATTTTGAAATTATAAACTAATAAGGTACTAATTAAATATCAAAAATGTCAACAAAATGTTTGTCATAGTTTTCAGAGTACTAGTCATATATAAAAAAAGAATTTCTTAAATTTGAGATAAGAATAAAGAACATCATCTATTATTTTCTAGAGTCGGATTATCTATGTTATGGGGTGATTTGTATTATGTTTATATGGCTCGAAAACTTGCATTTAAAGAAAAACGTGGTGATGTATGTGCAATGCCTTATGGTATAAATACTCCGGGTGCATTTGCTTTTATTTATGTTATTATTTTTCCTACATATTATGGATGTATTTCATCTCATGATAAAGGGTATTGTCAAGAATTAGCATGGTATGTGGCTTTAGCAAGTAATTTTGCAACTGGTATTATTCTACTTTTATTGTGTGTATTTGGTGAATTTATTCGACGAAATACACCGAGTGTTGCTTTACTTTCATCGATTTCTGGTCTTGGATTTGTATTCTTGGCACTCAATGAATTTTTACTAGTCGCTGAAACACCCATTGTATCATTTATTCCATTGGCAATTGTGATGCTTGGTTATTTTGGTGGAGGTAAGAAGAAACTATTTTCATCTTAAATCATACTATGACGGTTGCTTTCATGAAATTATGAGAATTCATATTACGGATGTGAGCGAAATCTACATTTAATTATAATACTTTTCTAATAGGTTTTTTGTTTACTGATAGTTCTACTCAATAGTTGTAAGATAGCAAGTGTCAAATAGGAGCAACTGTTCTTGATTTGTCTCACATTGATAATAAATATGTAAATCTAATTTTCATGTTTTTTTTTCAAATCTTGTTTTAGTTAAGTACGGTCCGTTTCCTGTGGCATTTCTTGCATTAGCAACAGGTACAGCTCTTGCTTGGATTACTTCACTTAATAATGTTTCGGCAGTACGTGAAGCAATGTATCTTGTGAAAGGCTATCGACCAGTTTTTCCAATCAAAGAAATATTTGATCATTTTCATACAATCAGTGGTTATCTTTCAACAACTATACCTACAGCTGTATCAATTGCTGTCGGAACTATTCAATGTGTTGAATCAGCTAAACGAGCTGGCGATTTTTATCCTACACGTGAAGTTATGTTTGCTGATGGAATGGGAACATTAATTGCTAGTTTATTTGGATCGATTTTTGGCATGACAAGTATGTAAAAAAAAGAATCTTATGTAGGAAAAATAATTTATTGATATATCAAAATTTCTTTAAGCTTACATTGGTCATCCAGCATTTAAAAAGATGGGTGCTAAACAAGCTTATGTGGTTCTTAATGGTCTTACTTTTTTGCCATTGTGTTTTCTTGGTATTACTGCTTTTCTTATCTCTGTTATTGCTGTTGTATCAATCAATCCTATTGTCGTAAGTTTTTTTATATTCTTGTATCACTCACATCTGATGATCCAATTCGATATTTGTTTTTTCATTTAAATGAAAATAATTTTTCAAATTGTCGAATAAGGAAAATGAAATTCTCTATCTAGATTTTAAACTTTGAAAAAGATCTATAGAATAAATTTAGATGAAGTTTTTTTTTTTTTTTTAATTGAATAGATTTTTATTGGTTTGGTTATATGTACTGATACATTGGCTATAACTCCTAAACGTCATTATCCAGCATTTCTTCTTGGTATAATGTCAATTGTAGCTGATTGGGCTCAAGGTACAATTATCAATGGTGTTACTGCTGCTTATTCTAATTTTACTGTACCAAATGTACATTTTTCAACAAATGTAACATCTGCTATTTCAAGTTTTTCTTATCATGGTCTCGTCAATTTTGCTGGTGGTTCTCAATTACAATGTATTTTTATAACTGCTATTATGTTATACATGATTGATCGAAAATTTATATATGCTGCTGTTTGGTCTTTTCTTGCTGGAATATTTGCTCTTTTTGGATTGATCAATGCAAGTAAAGTTGGTATTTTAGTGAAAAGTGATGATCATGGTTGGCGATTTACAGTTGGTTATATGTCAATGGTTGTATTATTTGGATTATTAGAATTTGCACAACGTAAAAAATGGGTCAAAGCACAAGAAACAGAACCTGATGATTTATCAAGTATTGAATGGGCTGAATGGAAAAGGCAACAAATATTAGATGAACCATCGATAATAATTGATGAAGATAAAAAACCAAGTGTATAATATTGTATTTTCATAAATCATTCTTATGTAATTCATGTTATAATACTAAAAAAATAATAGTTATAACAACAAAATAAATATAAATAGTAGTTAGAATCATATGAGACAATATGAATAAAATAATATTTGTATTTATAGTATTATCTGTTAGAAATTAAAACTAGACGAACATTTTCATAACTTTACAATTCGCATAGAAATTATTATGAGAAAGAAGCTGATTGTTTTATTTATTTAACAGGCACTATGAAAAAATTAAGCGAAATATTCATGTTAT